ATACAAGATAGGGTTACAAGACGAAGAAACAGAAGGAAACAAGAAATAGAGATAACAATAAACCTGCTCGCCTTCGAGTAACTGAGGAGAGATCCTACTTCATCGCCGGCGAGATTAGCAGGCGAGAAACGGCGCCGATGAGGGCAATTTAGGGAATTGACGATAGGGGAAGGAGGGTTTGCTAGAAGAGAGAAGAGTGAAATAAGCCTAGTGACGAAAAAAAGGGGCTTTACTGCAAATTGGGGAAAATCTCTTCCTTTTATTAGATTTTCCGGTTCACTTAAACCGTCCGGTTTTTCGTTTAAGGAGACTGGAGTAGTAAATTAATCTCCGGTTCGCTTAACTTTTGATTTTTTGCTAAACAATAATTACTAAGTAATTATTTTTACACATGTCTTTACTTCTAACACATAACAGATAACTTACAACTAATTAGAATTCAATTTTTGAAGGAAAATTGTAATATTAGTCACAAGTGTTTCAAATTGTTTGTCAATTAAACTCTTAAAGTAAAATTGCAACATCACAAATTGCAAATATTAAATATTGTTGCAACAGTAGACGTAAAAAAATTTAATGTAAACAAAATAAAAAGAAGTCATATTTTATTACTTATTGGATTATTACTATGCAACCGACAAACTATACTGTTATCAAAATTTTATGCAAGGGACTTTGACACTTCTCATTTTCACCAACACACATACTCCAATCTTTACAATTACAATGCATACATGATTTGGTCCTTTATATTCATTTTTTTTTAATTTATCGTGATAAATATAATGAATTATAAAATAGGATATTCTTCACATAATTTATTAAAAAATGGTTAGAGAAAAAGACGCGAAACGAGAGGAAGTCATTCTAACCGTCTTAACGGTAAGAGAGAATTGGTAAAAGAGACAACTCCCCCAGACTGTTGGGGAAAAAAACAAAGAAAAAAAAAAGTAAAAAAAAAAACAGACAGAGAAGAAGGGGGGCCTTTGTCTCTCAATAACTTTCCAGTAAAAGGAATTTTTGTTTCTCTCTGTCTCTCTCACGCTCAGCCGTTGTTGTTCGTCTCCCTGAATGCCTCACCAGTATTCGGGGTAATTTTTTCTTGTTATTAATGTCAGTTTTCGTAAAGAATTTGATAAGAAATCTGATTAGATTGTAAATTTTCTTGATTTTTATGAGAAGATTGGGACTTGTCGTTGTATCATTGGCATATAACATGTTTATTACTGTCAAGGGGATTCAGGATTTTAAGTTTATGAGTTATGGACCGAATACCTTTTTTGCTTAACAAGTTTTGGACAAATTATATATACAAATTTATAGGATCAGTGTCCGAGTTATTGAATTATGTTGAGCGTGTAACTTCCATCGTAGATCCACCATTGTGGAGGGGTGGAATAGATGGGAGGCTTTCATTTTGTAGAGGGCTATGATTGATACATAAAGAGGGAAATTACTACCTTTTCATTGGTTATGATTTTCTAAATACTTGGAGATACAAATGTTATCGAATTCATATAGGTGAAACTAGATACTATGATCCTCTTACTTCAAATGTGATTCTTTTTGGGATAGAATGAGGGAAATGGTAGAATTTTTAAGTGTTGTTGGAACAAAATTAATGTTCTACTTGTTGTTGTTTTTGTAGTCAATTGTGGCGACTATTAAGCGGAGGAGCGAGGGAACCAACAGGATGGTATGTCAAATGCTGGACATTTTCAATTTCTCAACCATATTGCTAGTTTTCTGTATATATGTTTGTTCTTAGTACATAATTCGCGAGAAATTTCACAGGGTTCAGAGATACCAATGTGGTTATTTGACTTTTGCAGCCTCCTTTACGCAAATTTGATGTAAGTCTTCATATTTGCTTACATTTTCTTTTAAGAATTCACAATCAAAAATATATATAGTGTTGTGAGATTGTCAATTGCAGAAAGAAAGTTACTTTTTCTGAGATGAATGATCCTCAAAATGCTGCATTTGTTTTGTATAGTGGGGTTTATATTGTAATGGTTTCTGGATTTGCTTAAGACCTCTCGATAATAGTCATTGTGTATAATAACATTTCATTATAACGTCTTTGGAACCAATTTTCATGTTATGTTATACCTATGTTCTCTATAACAACATTTCATAGTAGTAGTCAAAATATATCTAGATAAATGTCGTTGTTATAGAGAGATTATAGCCAAAATATATCCAGATAAAGTAGACTTGTTGTTTCATTTTTCAGACAATGTGAAGGATGTTCTACCCAAGGAAGAATAATTCTCTAAGGATTCACACATTAAAGAAGCTCCCTTTAGCATGCACTTTTATTGTTGCTGTTGTTTTTACTTGAATGAGATTCAACAAGATGGCTGTAGCTATCAATCCGCAAAATCACGGGTTCAAGCAATTCGTTAGACCTCCAAGGTGTAAGATTCCATCGTTTTCTCAGCTCGATTACAACAACATTCTTGAATCAAGCCAAACAAGCCTTACACATTCTCTACATCATGTTCCCTTTGAGATCTCCAACATCCAAAAGAGCTTTTCCACACCTTGTTTATCCCTCTCCACGAGAACGGAAGAAGATATTGACAGTAATCCGAGAGTTGAAATCATTGGTGGTCATCGCGCTCCTAAAGTGCATGCTTTAGTAGTTGAGGTTGCTATTGCTATGGCTTCTGGAGTCAAACCTGAGTTACTGGCAAGTGGACTTGGTGGTGCTTACCTTTTTCGGGCGACTAATGGTAATGCAGTAGCTGTGGCAAAACCTGCTGATGAGGAACCTTTAGCTTTGAATAATCCGAAAGGATTTGCAGGTCGGATGCTAGGCCAACCGGGCATGAAACGTTCCATCAAGATAGGTGAAACTGGTGTCCGGGAATCTGCTGCTTATCTTCTTGACCATGATGGATTTGCTGGTGTTCCTCCAACAACATTAGTCAAATTTTCTCATGTTACCTTCAATATAAACGATTCACAATTGATCCCTACTTCAACTTATAAAATTGCCTCTCTTCAACGGTTTATGGAACATGATTATGATGCAGGAGACTTAGGTTCTTCAGGCTTTTCAGTGGCTTCAATTCATCGTGTTGGGATTTTGGATATACGTCTTCTCAATCTCGACAGGCATGCTGGAAATATCCTGGTGAAGCATGGGAAAGAAAGCTATGCTGTTGATTGTGCTGAACTTGTACCTATAGATCATGGACTTTGCTTGCCAGAATCACTTGATGATCCATACTTTGAATGGCTGCATTGGCCTCAAGCTTCCATTCCATTTTCGGAGTCTGAAATGGAGTATATATGTGGTCTTGATCCTTTTAAGGATGCAGATTTACTGAGAAATGAACTCCCTTCTATCAGGGAATCATCCATTCGGATTCTTGTAGTGTGCACCATTCTTTTGAAGCAAGCTGCTACTTCAGGGCTTTGTCTAGCTCAAATCGGAGAGATGATGACCCGAAAATGTTATGGAGGACAGGAAGAAAGGAGTGCATTAGAAAAGATATGTTTCAGTGCCAAGGTTAACATAGAGAGTAAAATAAAAGAGGATGATCAAAGTATCTGTGAAGAGAAAGAAAGAAGTGTTGGAGTTTTCCAGTTTGATTATGAAGATGGAGATGACTCATATCAAGAAGATGAGGAAGCTGATGAAATCTTGCAAGGCTCTGCTATAACAGCTAAGCCACCGAAAATTCCAAGGTTTTCGTCTGTTAGGTCTATGAGTACAATAGCTAATCCATCAGTGTATCATTATGAAGAAGAATGTGATTACCTAAACAACAAATTTCGCGGTTCAGATACCTTAATAGACGATGATGGTGGTAAGGAGGACAATATCAACGATAGTGATAGTCAGAGAACTAGTGCTATGTTGAGGAGTATGAGCTTTGGTACAAAAAATTACAAGAATGATGGTGAAGGGATTTCTTTTGGTGAAATGAGTAGTGAACAATGGAGCTTGTTCTTAGAGGTTTTCGAGAAGCTTTTGCCAGAGGCATTTGAGGGAAAAAACTGCATGTGTTTGTCAAAGCAAAGATTGGGATCTTCTTGTGAGTTCTGAAGAGAAGTTTGATTTATGAGAAGAATTCCACATGTTTTTTCAACAAGTGTAAATTACCAGCCAAAGTACTCAAGGTAGAATATAGATAGATATTAGTATGAATGGCAAAGAGATGGGCAAATTTGCCATCCTTTCCACACCCTTTATTGAGAAGATAAGTTTTCTTGTTTTTACTACTTCTCTGCAGAAGTTGATATCTCTCTCTTGTTACATTCTTATTGTTTAAAATGCCAACCCAAATAATTTGGGAGTAAGGCCTAATTATTGTATGTATTCATCATTTAAAATATAAAGATCAGAGAATTGTATGTTCTTTGAGACATTTGATTATATGTTGTTGAAATTGTAAATAAATTTGATCCCAAAAATCAAGAAAGTTTGTTGGCCTATGTATATGGATTCAACTATATGTATGCATCCATTACATATAGTTTTATCTGAGTATATTTTGAAGAAGATTTCCTCTCACCATCTTAGTTTTGGTGAACACAATTATCCAATACTTGTATTAGTAGAAAATGTCAAGTCCTGGTGGAATAGTTGAAACTACACAAGCTGACTCGAACACCACCATAATAAAAAAGAGTTGTATTTTTGCTAGATTAGCTTCTAATATCCATTTGATAATATACATAAAGACAATATGAAAGATTTATCTTTGTGGTGAACCATCAGATCATGATACCTGAAACACCATACTCTTCACAAGTACAACTGAGACATAGTAAAAACAAATTGCCATTCAGTACTAAAGAAGTAAAGATCACAAATGATAGGCTAGGAAGATGTTAGGAACAAAAAAGCTTATTATACATTTCTTGGTTGTGTTTTCCCCTCCTTGTGTTTATGCAAGAAGGGATGATACATTACAGTGCCAATGCAAGTCATCACAGGCCTGTCACCTCTGTGACTTTGACCTAAAATTGCATCGCCACACTAAATCTTTATAAAAATATTTACAAGAATACAACAATAACACGCATTCATGCAAGCATGAGAGATGCCCTTTTGGCATTGCTCTCCTCTCTGCAAACTCCTCAAGTTTGTTTCTTTGCCCAGATGGAATGACGTGGAACTTACACAATGCTGGAGGCAAGTTTTGTTACCAAAAAATAATTTCCCCTCATCCTGCTGCTATGGAAGTAGTACAAGTAGGAACAGCGGGAAAGCCCAGAATTTGATGAAAGAATTCCTTCAGAAGCTGCAAGTGCATATGTCAATGCATCAATTTAGCATTAAGGAAAAAAAATATTACAAACACAAGTGAGGTAAATACAAGATTCTCAAGAAAGCACTCACAGGAAAATGGCAAGGGTGAAGCTGACGTAAATCTGTTAGGAGGCTGTGCAACAGAATTACTCCTTGAAGGAGGATGAACATGAGCATATACTACATAGGGCAATGGACTTGATGCAGTGATTTCATGTGGAGTAGGAGTTGGAGCGTGTACTTGCTGGTGCCGCGAGGGAGTATTATGAGGTGCAGGGACTGGTGCTCGAGCAGGAGCTATATGCGAGTGACTATTCTCCTTCCTTGGAAATCTCCCAAAATGACAAGGAGGCTGGGCCTCATGTCCCTTGTGTTGTGCAGGTGCAGGTGCAGGTGCAGGGGAAGGTGGAAGTACTGTTGCAGATGCTGGCTTTGGTGCGGATATAGGTGAAACTTGCCTGCTAATAGATCCACCTTTCCCAACCTTTGGAGCAGGTGATATTGCAGGAGCAAAGTTTGTACGATGATGGTAGTGGTGGTGATGATGAGGTAGTGGAGCTGGAGAAGGTGAGGGGCTACCCCCATCACCACCTCGAGAATGCGGTAAATCAGAGGACAGGCTAACTTGTTTAACCCTTCCAAATACGGTGTTATTGAGGCCAAGGTTTTCAGAATGAGAACCAATTGTCTGAGCCAACTGCTTCAACCTTGAACTGGAGGGATTTAACCCAACTGCAAAAAGGACTTTACACTGAACAATAGTGGGAGGATCCACTGTCGACCCTCTTGTATTAGTCAAACTCATATACAAGTTCTGCATTGTCAAGAAGAAAAAGGAAGAGAAATCAGCATGCTTACATCAACAATGAATGCTCTTCTAAGTAACAAATAATGAAAGATTATTGTTTTTCAAGTAATAAACACCTAATAACAAAAAGATGCAAGCAGCTAACAGGAGCATAAACAAACCAAGAAATCCTCTGTTGTGATCACGGTGATAATGCATTTAGTGCGTGTAAAGATGAAGATAAAATGTGTTTCAAGTATATCTGTGTTTGAAAGGTTCTTTGTTGGACAGTAGCAGATTGCTAGTGAATGAGACAATCCAAACCTTTTGCCTTTTGAATAAAACAACTGCATATATATGGATCTTTTTGAGAGAAAAAAATGATACTTTTTGTGCTAATGAGGTTTGCTGAATTGGTAACAAAACCCAGAGCTTCAAACACAAACATATCTAATGCCTCACACAGTCTTAGTCATATAGGGTATAGACCCCTTTTGGAGAAGAAATAGTTAACAATGATACTCTACCAAGGGGCAGCACCATCAGATCGATACATTCTAGAATAACCGAGAGGATAATCATAGAAAACATTCAACTGAACAGAAATATGATAGGGGTTTCATAATATAAATAACCTTTTTATTTTGATATATAACTATCCCTTTCAAATGACTGCCTGCATGAGTTGGGAATTATACATATATTCTTTTTTTGAGAATGAAAAATCAAGTACCTCAACTGTGTGGACAGCAGATTCGAACATGCGCAGGCAGAGCCCACGTGATTATATTATGCGCCTTTACCAGGAGATTTACATATATAACAAACAGAAAAACTTAGATGAAATAAGCAAATAAAAAAACAAAAGCCTTACTACAATCAATCAGTCATACCAAGATAAAAAATTTAAAAGCTAAATGTGTCAAGAAAGTAATATAAGCCAGATAATGTAGAGCTGGAAACTGGACGATAGACCACAAAGAACTTGCTTCAAAACAAAAATATCGTCAACGGCATGAAGAATGATAGCAGAGGAAAGATATATATGTCAATGCAGCTAACTGCAATCATAATCACAGACCTCATATGATGAAAGATGTAATCCAGATTTGAGCTGGCTTTTTAGTTCATGAAAATTATCTTGAATTTCATCAATTGAAAAGTTCAACGTGAAGTTGAAAAGCATCTGGAATTGCTGCATGAGGAATCCACTCTGTTTGGGGCTCACTGTAATCCCACCTCTGAATTTCAGAACATCAAAGGAAAAAGGATCGCCAAACAAAGTTGCTGTCAAGTGCAGAGCTGATTGGCCAGTAATTACAGCTTCAAATTCCGACCGGACTAAACTCAGAGCAGTTAGAGAAACCCTCCCATTATTCACTTCAGAGTCAACTGCAAAGATGACCTCTGTGATGTTCGTTCCAGATATATTTTCTAATGATATTATTTCCACCTGTTAGATCAGTGTGAGAGGGAAGAAATGTCAAAAGAAAATTAAGCTAAGGAAGAATAACAAAGATAAGGGAGACAAGAATTATTGGACATACTTTAGTATGGGAAACACTTATTTCATCAAATATATCATCTGCAAGTTGCAAAATGTTATCATTGACAAACGAAACTGGCTTCTCAAGCATGAAACTGGCAACTATATCATGACCTGGAAAACCCAAAACACATTGACGTGAAAAGCTGGAAATATTTGCATGAGCATATGAGTGATAGTAGGTATTCTTTTTTTCAAATATAAATAGGATATTCAGATTACTCAGACACTTCACAAAAGAGACAAATCAAAAGTTTCGAAGTAATTAAAACCAGCTTGACATGCAGTTCCCGCATAGAGATGCTTCATTTTCACTGTCACAAAAAAACCATCAACCAGGAGACTCCATGTACTCCCAAGGTTTCAAGCTTTTCATTGTTCTTCAAGAACACTTCTACTCTATGCCTAGAGAAGTGCATTCACCTAGAGAAAACTCTATTCTATGACTATTATTAAAAGACCTTTATCATATCTCAATGCCACAAGCAGACAAAGTTGTTGATGGCATTGATTGTCACTTGTGGGAAAACTAAGCTATGAGAAAAAAACAGAAGTTAATTTGGACCTCCAGCATAAGGAATAATAACCTGCTCCTTCAGTTTCAATTTACGTATATTTATTTCCTCTTTAGTTTATTTAAAAAAGAAAGCCATTTTCTATATTTAGTTATTCTTTAATTTCAACATTCTACATTGCATGTTTAACACCACAAAATTCAAGAGACATTTTGGTACATTAACACATCTTTAGTTTAACGGTAAGGGTTAATCTTCAGCTGATAAAGCACGAGCAAACCAAATTTTAAGAACAGTCAACAGCTAGAAAACATCCTTAATTCCTTTTTAAATTCCAATTAAAGGTACATTCTTTCTAGTTGACATAAATTATAAATAAAATAGGTATCTATTCTGATGCTACACTCAACGAAATGAACTATCTTCTTTATCTTGTTTATTTCACCAGTGAGAATGTATGTACAAGATTACACAAGTTACTTTTAATACAAGTTTTAATAACAGACTCATTAATTATATGTCTTTAATAACAGACTCATCAATTATATGTCTAAGTTACGAACCGCCAATCCTATGTGAAACTCAAAAAGGCAATTATATGTCTAATTTAATAGCATAGACGTATATGTCATTATCCAGTGTTTAAGAGGTGTAAAGATATGTCACCTGGGCCTAATTCAACCCCAAATCTAGCTCATGAGGGGAGGATTGCCCAAATCGATATAAGCAAACCACCAGTCTATTCCCTAACCAATGTGGTACTCTTAACTCACCCCACCCCACCCCCAGGCACAACTAGAGTGTCGACCAGGATCCCAAACAAGGATGGACTTTGACTCTGATACCGTGTAACTAAAGGAACGAGAATTCTTGAGATGTTATTCAATGAATCAACAAGTATAAATACATATACATATAGTCCTAACTATGGAAAGAATTAAAAAGAAGACCCTACAGGTATGATATCAATCCCACAACTATGCTATCTATGTATACAACTAGGAACATGGCTAATATTCCATTCCTTAACAAGAGTCAAACTATGATCTCCATTAGAACTGCATATCAAATTAGCAGAAAATAAATTTCCAGTTTTCTTATTTATGCCTCAGTAATTGAAAATTCACTTCATTTAACCAAACTAGAAGAACCCAAAACTCAAACATATCAGTTCATTCAACAACACAAAGAAAAACATTTCCTGAAGTAAACCAGAAACTTATGCTAAGCCACCAGAAAAAGGTGCCTGAAATTTCACACAAGGTACAATACCAGATTGTAAACTCATAGTTACCAATCTAACACAACAAATTACACAGAAAGATCCCCCAAGCAGAGCATATTGCCATTAAGACACAGAAAGATGGTACCTTTACACTTTTTTCTAATCAGTGAGCTATAAAAATGGTACCTTTATACTTGTTGTCAAGATCCAGATCCCCCAGATCTCCCTTCTTGAAGAATGGCAACAAGAAAACAGCAGAAATCAAGACTCCCAAGCCAAGCATCAATACAAATACACATTTAAAACTCACCAACCCTTTGAACCTACAACAACACCTATCCTCTGCATTTTGGTTTGTACTTTGTGCATCCAATGCAGTACTAGGTATTGGCTGTTCTTCCTCTCCTTTCCCCATTGGAAACACTTATAACAATGTTGGTCTAATTCCCTTTTCTTATTCTTCATTTCTACAGTAACATAACAAAGAATCCATGCTTCTTCCTCCTCTTCTTTTTCTTGTTCTTGGAGAAAATAAGAAGACAAAATTTCTTCTTTTGGTGAGACTAAAGAGTGGCACAAAACAAATATGTATATATTTTTATTCTTTTTTTGGTTAGGGTTGGGATGGAACTTGGGAGTTGAAAGAGAGTAAAGTGACTTGCTGCAAGACAACTGTTGTTTAGTGAGTAAAGCAGACAACTTTTGTAGTTTTGCTTATAATGGTGTTTTATTGACTCCACAGTTGTTTTTGGATGTTGTAATAAAACTCACGTACAAATGGAAAGGTTGAAATACCTTTGTTTTATTTTATTAACCCGCCGTCTATTTTACTCTTTTATAATCTCAGCATTTATTTGTTAATTTATTTTATTCACCTTTCACTTTAGGTGAAACTTTATTTCAATATTGAAGAATACTCTACACCAACCTAGGACTCCTCCTTGACTTTGATATATGATCCAACTTATTTCTAGGTGAACCAATAAATGAGAAAAGCATAGGCTATCTATATACAATGTAATATGTAATAAATGTAATGTTTTAGTTTATTTAATCTCATTTATTAGAATTGACAAAGGAAAAGAAAAAACATATATAGTTTAAGTTATATTAGCAAGCTTCAAAATAATTTGATAACATGATTTTTTCTTTGTCGGTACATAAAAATCAAATGTGAACAAAAGTAGAAAGGAAGAAAGTAGGCATAGCTGTGTTGTCTCATTGACTATTACAGGCTAGGTCCACCAATGTCTCGAGTTCAAATCCTAAATATCGAGTCACCTTTATCAAAAAATGTTTTACCCCACAACTGTGGGACTTCCGATGCAAAACCAACTAAATTCACCGACTGTGCTAAGGCTTTGCCAGAGTATCATTTAGATATGACTTAGTGAGGAAAAATGCAGCACAACTCCATTTTTTTTCGTATGCATAACTCAGCATGTCTCTGGTATACAATGATAGCAAGCAGAACGGTAAAACTGAATAGGGCAAGCAGTAACTGAAACCTTTAATATTCATAATCAGCTCAAGAGATTGGAAAAAGAAAAAAACTACATAGTAAAGAGTTTCTAGTTTGTAAGCTCCATAATGGCAGAGACAATATCACCATTTGCAGCCTTGAGAGCTTTGACAGCTTTTGCTCTGGAAACATCAGCTTGAGTCATTACCAGCTCGATATCCTTGGGTTCTACACCAGTCTCATCTACATCCTCATCGTCCTGAGCCACCGTTGATGGTTCTGGTTTTGATATCACATTGCTCAAATTAGGAGCCTTGAACTGCTCAGCAGCTTGAGACTGCAATTGAGAACTCAAGTCCTCAATCTTTGCCTCACCAAATATAACATATGTGTCTGATGCAGGGCTCTTGAAAACATCTGGTTTCGAGATGACAAATAGAATCTGAAACAAGGGAAGAGAATGTAAGGAGAAAGGCTAAGCACTAGAACAGAAAACATCGAAAAGAAAAAGCAAGAAAGCAATAACATAATTAACTAACATTCTTGCTCTTTTTGACAGTGACACGGCTGACCATGGGGATTGGCTTCATTCCGAGCTTGATCATAGCTTTACGACTCTTCTTCTCGCTCCTGCTCTGTTTTGACCTACCACTACCCCCTGCAATTTGTGATTTGATAATTCCAGTATTTATGTGCATTGTGGACCACAGAAAGAGAGTTAAAACATGCATTTACTATTCGTCATATATTTAAAACAATAGAGATGTCGAGAGACAGAAACCTACGCAAGGAGAATTGGAACCCATTGAGACTTGTTACAACACGCTTAGTTGTTCAATAAGATTTCCAACTCGGTTAATCTATGCATGCAAAAGTAACACCCAAATATATGGAGAATAAATCACAAGTATCAATGGAGCCAAATGGAAAAGAGGAAGGAAACAAATATAGTTGAACAAAAAGGGAAGTTGATCGAATCAAACAGGTCAAGTGGATAGACCATACAAGCAAATTATTCTCATAACCACGTAAACTATGTAATATTCATGCCTCCGTGATTAGAAATGAAAGAAAGATTCAATTAGTTGTTTTCACTCAGAAGGAATGTACACTTCAAGAAGCAAAGTCAGGCTCAGAATAATGAAATTATGCTTGTATGCTTACCTTCAACATCATCTTCATCTTTGTCATCTTCATCATCGTCATCTAAATCGTCATCGTCTTCATCCTCAATAATTGGCTCCTCGGACTACATAAGAAGATTATACTTGGTTTAAAATGTTAAAGAATATACATGAAGACCAAAACCAGTGCTCACCTGACCAAAGCTTACACTGAAAACCAAGAAATGAGTCAAATGACAATAGTTCACTACTACAACATTCACAAATGAACCAATGAAGTCTTTAGATGCCACACATAAAATCTGCAAGACTTTTTTATTTTTCTGTTGTTCTCTTTGGCATAGGTACAAACTTAATAATTATGGAAAAGTGGAAAACAAGGATTCAACAATTTGACTCACTCATGAAAGAACAAACAGAAGATGCTTAAAAGTATTGCAGCAACTACAACATTGGAAGTCTAAATAACTTGCATGAAATTTCTCATTCGTATGCAAGTACAGTAAGGATTCAAATAAACAAGTATAGCAAAATTTAGCTACTCAAGAACATTTAATCACATCAACTATTGTACAGATGATAACTACAACTGATATTCGCCTTACTGTCTTAAAAAAAGATAATAATTACAACTGAACCCACTAAAACAAGTCAAAAAGACATTGTAAGGAAAAGGAAAAGGTTGAGGCTGGATGGATGGAAAGGGGCAGGGGATGATTCCAGTTGTAATTGAAGAGCTTGCAATGATGGGGGAAAAAGAGAAATTATTTTGACTGGACTCGGGAGGGAGGGAGAGGGGAGAGCTTTGTTATGGTGATGGAAAGGAGGGAATTGCATACCCTTTACACAATCCAAAAACCAAGGGAATGGAAAGGAGCTAAGAATGGCCATATCTCTTAGAAGGGAACCAGTATCAGGAGAGTAGGGGGGAAGGGTCAAGTCAGCCAATTGAGACATGCATTGAAAGAGCAAAATATTTTCCAATGTTGCTCCCGAAAGGACGACCTCAGTGAGGAGCGCATTTCTGCACATCTTTGTATTGCCCGATTTTCAACTCGATTGGCCTGACTTACAACTTGCGAGTCAATGTCAAATGAGCATACGCAAATTTAAACAATTAAGTTTCTTCTGCTAGAAGATCTAGCATCCCTTTGTTGCTCTCCTCTTTATAATTTCCTAGTTACTGCCTTAAGATCTCCATCACAACAATAACAAGCTAGAAATCAAAAGGCAACTGCAATTTTCGTCTATAGTTCACCAAAAAAAAAACATTGTCTCTAAACTATAAATTACCTTGCAAATCACAATGGAAAACACCAGGAAGCCACTCTATTAGTCACCTCAAAAAACTCAAACTTTCCCCCAAAAGAGATTGTTTATCATGGCTCGGAGCGAACTAGTTAGTCTCTTCCACACACAAGAAACATCTCATCTAAACTAATAGCTGCCAAAGCAAACTCAACAAAAGGGAGTTGCTCTGATAGTAAGCATCCTCACCTCCAAGTATGTTTTGAGTCACCAATTAAGCAAAAAAAAAAGTGGAAGCTAGCAAACTAGCTATTTCTATTAACAACAGCCTTAAAAGATTCAAACTTTTCTAACAAAAGATCATCTACAAAGTGAATCATCAAATTTTTTGTGCTCATTCTATATATTTTTATAGATCCCAATTCATCTCAAGAAGAAGAAATAACAATGAACATCAACAAGATTAGCAAATCAGATCAGCAAAAACAAAAAAATTCAGACAATACACAAATCACAGTAGATACAATCAAACTATAAAATTAAGTCAAATTTCTATAAAACTTCAAAATAAAACATTTCAGAACTTTATGTCTAGTTGCGAGAGGAAGAGAATTACTTCAATCTTCTGTTGTTCGAGATGAGCGGCTAGGATTTCTTCTGGAGATTGAGCAGTCATGGTTAAGTGAGTTAGCGACAACTGACAATGAGAGAATTTAGGTTCGCGAAGAAGACAATGGTCCTAAAACCCTAAGGATAACTTGTGTCATCTATGACCCGTTTCCTAGGCCCGACCCGAATAGAATCATACCAGAGTAATAGGGAAAATTATGTAATCAGAAAAGGCAAAATGGTGTGGTGGACCCTTGTACTTGTATGCGTTTGTATTGTAAACCCTTCTACTTATCCCTTTGCCATCTAAACCCCTGAATCCATCGAAACACAACATTTTGAACCTATTTTTTCCTACTCAATTGTGTGTGTATCACAAACACTTGACACGTAATATTTAAAATAATTATAAAATGACATGTATGATTATAAAATGACAAGTGTATATATAGCCACTCCAGGTCATCCTTTCCCTTTTATCATATTTGATTAATGTATCTGTACTTCTTTTTTCAATTTTTATTTGCCTCTGCCATAGCTATTCTCATTCCCACAAATCACAATCTCTTTCCATTTCTCTCTCTCTCATCTTCCTTGCATTTTTTCTTTCCCAACCTCTTATACTCTTTCCAATGAAGAAAAAATGTCGAAATGATTTCTACTTGTTCACAATCTCCTCAAAGCTCGGAGTTGATTTTGGATTCTGTTAGGTTGCGATTTAAATGGTGATTGATGGCGTTGAGGAAGAGTGGGGATCTGTTGGGTGGCCTGGTTGTTCACAATTCTCGCCGGAGTTTAGGGCTGGCGGCGTTGTAAGGGTCGAGGTTTATTGGTGGAGTTGGTTTGGGGTTTTTTGTTGTTGCTGTTGGCTCTCACTTATAGCTGCCGATTGAAGCTTGTTTGAGATGGTGAGCACAAAAGTGGTCTGATTGGAGAAGGTGTGGCGGAGGAGAAGAAGGCAGTGAGGTTGGATTTTGTTTAGGACTGAAACAGGGGTCATTTGGGTGGTAGATAACTGGGTCAATGCGGGAAATTATTTGAGTCTTTTTTGTTAGTTTTGTTTGATTTTCAACTTATCAATGTAGGTTTTTCAATTTATTTATCGTTTAACCTCGATTTCATCTTCTATTTGTGTCTTTGTTTGATTTTGGGGTTTTGTGGATTACATTAATTTTGTTGACTTTTTTTTTGGAATTTTACTTTGTTTTGTGCCTATCGTTAGTGTAAGATGTTTTTGTAGTAGTGTTATGCCT